GGGCATGACTTCGTGGGCGTGGCTTGGTGGGGGGAGGTTCATGTGACTGGATGGGCATGGCCAACTTTTTTTTTTACTTTTTACTTTACTCTACTTTACTTTTTACTTTTTAAAGCATTTTTGCTACCTATTCGCCCGAATCAGTAGTAAAAAAATTTTCTTTAAAAAAGAAAAAAAAAAAGTTCAGATGATTGTGCGCACAGCTGTGATCATTCAAACCTTTTTTTTAACTTTCGAAAGCATTTTTTTACTACCGGTTTGCTCGAACCGGTAGTTTTTATCACTACCAGTTTGCCCAAACCACAGTGAACGGGTAGTATTTCACTCCTACATCTAACCGCCGACTTTACTGTATCTCACTTCAGTGATTGCTGGTTGGTGCTCTGAAGACATTGTTAAGTCACTAAGGCAGAAGTGGCAAGTCTGCCCACTTTGTTAAAAGTTTCGCTGCCCTGGAAAAGAGGGTTGTGTTTCTCCAATATGACGTAGAATTTCCTTGGGCCGCGTTTTTTGAGATCACTTGTGACCCAACGAAGGTCATCCATTTCTGACTTAGTTCATTGTGATTGACTTAAGACTGTTTCCGGGCATCCTCTGGCCATGGGAACTGTGCTCGGTTCCATCCTTTCATGCGTTCAGAAGTGAGTGTCTTGAGAAAGATATTAAGAGACTTAGGAAGACCCAGAGAGAAATGGCAAGATAGATTGTGACGAACATGGACAAAATAAATGTAAGATGATAAAAGAGTTTACGGCCTTGGTGGCATTTGTTGTACATACCGAGAAGAAATACGAAGAAGTATGATGGCTTTTGACTGAAAATTCTTCGTCCCATGTGGGTTGCTTTCGGGCTAATCCCTGTTAATGTCATGCTTGGTTAGTTGACGTCCATTTGATCTGTCTTTTGGAGATTTATTTTATCAATAAAGGTGATATTATGCCTCTGAAGATAGTTAGTATCATTTATATGAATTGTCTATTGACGGACACATTTAACAAAGGGTGTTTATGTGCTGAACAATCACATATTTTATTTATCCAATAACCACATGATCGATTTTTTTTTAAAAGGATATCGGGTTGAAGGACTTCTTGGAGATGTAAAGATTTGCCAGGATTTGAATACGTCTAAAACATTCAATTTGTGTCAGGACCATGTTACATTTTATTAGTATTGTCCTTTCAGAGATCACATATTGATACCGAGTTTAAAAAAATCAAACCCAGCATGTTGACTTAAGATGATTGCCTGCTTGTGCGGGAAAGTTAATTAGTGTGCTTAAATTGATATCTACTGTATAAAGCGTGTTGAGGCCTCCAGTGCCCTAATCAGAATAAGAGAGTGTGAAGGGGCCTGGGAGGTCTTCTAATCCAACCCCCTACTCAAGCAGGAAACCTCGTACAATTTCAGACAAATGAATGACCAATGTCCGCTTGAAGAGTGATGGAGCACCCACAGCTTCTGAAGACAACTTCTGTTCCACTGGTTAATCGTTCCTCCTTAGTTCTAGGTTGCTCCTCTCCTTGGTTAGTTTCCATCTAGTTTCTTGTCCTGCTTTGAGGTGCTTTGGAGAACAGGTTGACCCCCTCTTCTTTGTAGGAGCCCCTCAAATATTGGAATACTGCAATCATGTCACCTCTAGTCCTGCTTTTCACTAGACTAGGCATACCCAATTCCTGCAACCCTTCTTCATTTTTTAGCCTCCAGTCCCTTAATCTTCTTTGTTGCTCTTCTCTGCACTCTTTCTAGTAAACCTTCAGCAACAGCTTCTATGAAATTTGGTTAGATTTCATCTGAAGGGCTTGTTTCCAAAGACTTCCAATTCTGCAAGATATGTAGGAAAAAGAGAGCAAAAGACTAGCTCAGAACTTGGCATGAAGCAGGAGGTGGATATATTTTTCTATGATCTTTGATACCATCTGGTGGCTTCCATCCAGAAGTGTAAGAACGCAATCATAGCCTAGATCCATTCCAGTTAAGTAGGATTATCCTCTGTGCCACATCCCAGGTCAGCAGAACCTAAGCTCTTCATGTGATCTATGAAATTCCATATTTTAGGAACATAATTCAGGCTCATGTTGAAGTCTTTGAATATATTTCCTTCCAAATATTGATTTGAAAGCAAAGGAAGCTTGTTGTGTTACTTACAGCCTCAATGTAGTTGGAGCAAATGCAGAAAATCAGTTTCCACAGTAGCCAATGCTAAGGGATCCCAAAAATGTTCATGGATTTATTATAAAGTCACCCCTGAGCTCTCTGTTACACAATAAAAGGAAACACTCAACTCATTGCTTTAAAAACCATGTGCTCTTTATGCTGTTATTGTTTCAAATAGGAAATTTTTCCTTAATTCCAGGTTGGATCTCTCCTTGATAAGTTTCCATCCGTTACTTTTTATCCTGCCCTCAGGTGCTTTGGCAAATAAGTTGACCCTCCTTTCTCTGTGACAGCTCCTCAATTACAGGAAGATTATCACTCTTAATCCTTCTCTTCACTAGACTAGACATGTGCCTTGTTCAGGAAAAAAAAATTCTCACGCAGAAGGGGAAGGCAAGCAAGGAAACTTCCATTTCACCTGCAATTATTCTTGGGTGTAGATGCTCCTGCAAAGGGTAGACCACAAAGTTGAATTTCTGGAACATTGGTGCCATCTAGTGGTGGATTATAATAGCATCCATTGTCCTGCAAAGATGGCACCTATCTTTTTTTGTAAAGCTTAACGTTTGGGCCATACTGTAATGTATGTTCTTGCTCTCTCTGCTGTATGGAGTTATGTCAACATTCTCACATGCTGAAAGAGACTCTGCTCCCGTCTTTGTTTCTTAGATACGGGCTGCAAAAAGGATTACTTCAGACTCGCCTTTTCATATCACTTGGGGTAAGGCTAAAAGTCAGATAACATTGGAAAAGTGGAATCCAATTTTCCTCTTTCTTCTAGCCTTTTTAAAAAAAATATTATTTTGCATTTTTCCACAGCTTTCAATTTCTGAAAATCGTTTCCATAACTGACAAGAAGGAATGATAAAGTTGGCAAAGAGAGCGCCTGCTCATCCATCACTGCTCTATCTTGTTCCAACTCATTTTGCATGTCTAGATAAATATATTCGCATATTTAAAAAATGGAGGGAGCAGGGAAGATTTCATACTACCTACTTAGCCTCAAAAGCATAACCCAATTTCATGAGCTTTTATAGGAATCACTTTCGCAATGGGCCCTTACAGATACCTGACCCCAAGTCAACCAAGACACGAAAGGCACGGAGACTGCAGAACAGAGCTTCAGCCAGGAGAAACCTGCCATTCAAAGTTACAGAAAGTGACTTATGGCAGATTTTAACCCTTACGACTGTTGTAGTCCCATGGTCACATGTTCAAAATTGGCAGGGATTGATGATGGGTCATCATCTTTGCAACCTTCTAACAAGGAATTGGGGAAGGCACATTCACTTGACTCTTACTCATTTAACTGAAGTGATGAACGGAACAACTGTGGCAGGGACGGTCATAAAGCAGGGCAAAACTCATTTTAACTGCCTTGCTTAGCAACAGAAGTTTGGGGCACAATTGTGGTTGTGTCAAGGACTATCTGTACCTCCATCTCCACCAGGCCAGCTGTCGTGGACTAAGTAGCAGCATTGGGAAATTCATTTTTTTCATCAAACACCTTGGGGATGAAACATTTTAGTGGATTACCCATCAGTTGTTCTGTTTGAATGTTTGAGAAAAAAGGATTTCATTTCAGTTAGCCGACCCTGGAGTCCATCACAAGGCAAAATGGTTCCAACATGTAGTAGCAAGGCACCCCCTCCCCCCAATTTCCCTGTGGATGCATGTAGAGACCCAGTGAGCTGAGCTTGGAGAGAGAAGGCAAAGGCCACTAGCCAAACATGAATTAAGCCCAGGGAATCAGATAAAAATGAGAAAGGAAGCTGAAGTATGGCTAAACAAAAGCCAATTGTGGTTTGAGGTTGTTTTTCTTTACAGGCAAGGGGTCAATTTTCTCAAGGACCTTTTGCTGGTGTCCTCTCAAATAAAACTTTCCATATCATTCAGGTCAAAAGGCAAAGAGTGGTTGAAAACATGAGCTGAAGGCTTCTAGTTGAACAACTACATAACATTTACAAAATTAGGAGACTCCGATCCAAATTAGCTGAGCTAAAAATCTCTGAAGGATTACCCCCACCCTTATCAATTAGTTTTGTGCAACCAAAATGAGACTTTGTGTGTGCGCGCATGTGCATAAACAATTTTAGCTGGCATTTGTCAGGAAGGCATCATGAAAGGATGGCGTCTCCTGAGGTGGTATCAAAAAAAAAAAAAAAAAACCCACATGCAATTTGTCCCAATTAAACATTGGTATTTCCCATGCCGTTTTTTGGTGTGCCTGTTTATTTAAGAGCAATAATGCACTTAAGCACAAATGCTCAACTCCACATAATCAAAGGGCATTTCTTGAAGGGTGAATGGACGACTGACTCCAGAAGGCAGAAATCCAATCAGTAATTGTCCAGCTGTAGCAAAACAGGCCAACAATGACCAGGAAAAGGGATTTTTTTTTTTTTTTTTGCTCTCCCACCTTCCAAGACCAGCCACGGCTCCTCCATTGGTTCTTGGAAACTTGTGCAGTTCAGTCTTAGACTTAAAAAGTTGTTTTGGGGTCTGCAGATCCCAAAGCAAGATACAGTTTGAGTCAGATACGCCAAAAGTTTTGCACCAGAGGCATTCATTTTGCAATCCAATTTCATTTCTTTCACTCAGAAATGCACCCATCTGATTAAATTCAGTGGAATAACCAAACTAGATGAATACAGCTGCAATTTCAAAATAACTTTTTAAAGAATTAAGATATATCCAATCACTGGTAGAATTAGTCCTCTACTTACAACCGCAATTAGCCACACGAACAGCTGGTTTGAGTTACTTGGATCTTTATCTGCACCTCCTTTCAGAATGCTTGAAAACGGCAGACTTTTATTCATGTTATACAAAGACAGTCTTGCTTTATTTATATTTATATTTTATTCCATACAAAAACAGCAACAATAGTAAAAAAAAATTATATTAAGAATGAATAAAAATAACATTCCCAAGCTCCCTTCAGTCAGCCGTCCTTAAAGGTACACACAGCCCTGCAGAAAATTATTTACAAGTTATCGGCTTAAAACTCGGTGAGGTGTGCCACCCGAAAGAGGCCGTTTATTTCTCCAAGAGGCCTGCATGTCCTGGGAAAAGGTTATTGCCAATTGTTTGGTAATTCTGAAAGAAATAATTTGAAAAGCATAAATTCTCACATTGTGAAACTTACAGGGCAGGGTGCAGAACCACCTTGTGTCATGGTTAAAAGACATTAACCAAGTGCTAAAACTATTTTACTAAAATTTCATGTTTTAAAACTGCTAAAACTGTGGCAACGTTGCCCATTCGGGTTTTTCTTAACTATAATCCAGTTGCTTACAAAGCCCCGTTTCATATGCAGGTATATAAATTAGGCAGTTACTCAATTACATATGACTCCATTCTTATGCTTTCAAAGGAGGTCAGAGAAACATTGATTTTCATCTTAAAAGTTGCCGCAGCCCTAGATGGTAACGCAGTAAAATTTCTTATTTCTGTTTGAATCTAATGGAGTTGCCCCTTCCTGAAAACGGACCCTGCTGGACACACGATTCTACCGGTGACATAAGCTTCATACCAGAAGGTGCCTCTGGCTGGATTTAGTCATTAAATCGATGCTCAATTCTTCTTCTCAGTTTGGTTGGTGTCTGTACAATTCACCTGCAATAAAAGGTTACCAAATTAACATACCAGGAACTTCATAATATTATTGGTTAATTTTACTCAAGAAATATGCTGCATTGATTGGGCCCTACATGGAAAAGCATAGGCTCCTAGGGCTGGAGGGGGCTTTGGGGGTCTTCTAGTCCATGGTAGGAGCCCTTAGGCCATCCCAGACAGAAGAAAATTTGACAACATAGTTCTCAATACCCAGAAGTACAGGTAGTCCTCAACTTATGACCATTCAAATATACAACAGAACTCCCAAATGGGACTTACCGCATGGATTCAAAGTTCTGATATTTACTCACCTCCACCATGGCCATGTGGCCCCATTTTGGGTTATTGGCAACTGGCTCCAATGGCTGTCTGCAGCGCCCTGAGGTCCCATGACCATGATTGAAGGTTTTGCCAGAAGCCACATTTACCCCGGTTTTCCAGCAAAAACCATCCCATAGCAAACAGTGAGTCTGCTGAACAGCCATGCTGTTTCCTTAACAACCAGGATTCTTGCTTTAACTACCACCACAGAAAAGCAGGTCTGGTCATATGGTGACCTGTTTTACAACCGTCCCAACCTATGACCGTAATCGCCAGGCTCAATTGTAGTCCTAACTCAAGGACTACCTGTAGTGAACAATCTACCCTCAAGAAGTCACAATTATTCTCAATAAAACTGACAAACACCCAGGTGCATACTCTCACCTGATTTTTCTATACACACCACGGACTCATTCGACCTCCCTTCGCTCAGGAGGTATAACCTTTTTTTCCCCTGATCACTTCCCACCAAAAATTTACAGCCTTATTTAATATTTTAAACTTTACTCTGACAGTTACAATGACATACATTAGTCAAGATTATTCCAATGGCTGAAGGGGTGTCACTGTAGCACATTCAGTACAGTTTCCACAACAGAAGCCCACTTGGTTAAGTCCCACTTAATTAAAGCAGTGACTGCACGAATGGCAGAAAACATAAAGAAAGGGAAGGAAAACAGACAGCGTGCATGATGATTGGGAAATGAAGCAAAAAGAGGAAATTAAATTAGGGTGAGAAGAGAGGCAGATAGTAGATGGAAAGATAAGAGGGGAAAAAACTACTTCGGAATGGCCAGGGATAGACTACTCCTACAGACACCACACAACTAGCAATTTATGCAAGCTGATGCAATATTACAACTTAAACCAAGCTTCGAATTACTTACATTGTTGTCTTGGGAACTTCCCTGTAGCACCAAGGAATTGCTTCCTACAGTTTCTGTTTCCATATCACCGAGATCAACAGGGCTACTGCAAAAATAAAGCATGGAATTAGCAATATTAGAAAATAAGTCACTAATGTTGGGATTAAGGAGAGAATTTAGCTTAACCCATTTAGCCTCTCTTTAGCCACAAAATCTGCCTCCCGATTTACCCAATGACCTCAATATTTAGGCAAAGTTTAGGCAAGATTTAGGAAAAGTTAGGCAAATAGGAATTGAAAGTATAAATCACATGTAATTTCCAATGATTTTGGAATCATTGATTTCCAATGATTTTTAGTATTACATTTAAATAATTTAGAAAAGTATTCCAGCAACTTGTTTAATTGATGTTTTGATATAAACAAAACTTTCAGAAAAATAATTGTTTTAAAATAACTGCATGTACTCTATTGCACCAACTAGGTTCTAGAAGTGGCACAAAATTCTGATAACCGGCTACTACATCATGTTAAATAGTTTAGTTTATTTTTAAATAAAAAAAGACAAACAGTTAATTTACTACAAAGAAAAGAAATCGTTATATCAACATGCGTAGCACTATAGCTGCCTACATTTTGTAGAAAATTACACGTAGTCCTCACTTAACAACCACAATTGAGACTAGCAGCAATCTTGCTAAGCCATGTGGCCAGTGAGCAAAGCACCAAAGGGCCACAACTGACTTAAAAGCCTCGTCTCCAATGTGGCTGTTAAAAGAAATCACCTGTTGTCATTAAGCGAGAAATCACACGACCACAAGTTGCCCTTTCACTGCCAGTTTCTCCACTGACTCTGCTTATCCAAAAAAGTGTAGGCAGGGCAGTCATGTGACTCTGTGATGCTGCAACCATCACAAATGCCTGTTGGCTACAAAGGGCCACCCACACCCCAGGGACAAAATGGAAGGACCACTCATAAAGTTACTGTTTCAGCACAGTTGTAACTTTGAATAATTGCTAAACGAGGCAGTCATTAAGTGAGGCCTAACCTGTACTATGGTTATTAAACTCAATTCCACAAAAAAGAATTATGCTGTCCTTAAGCTAACCTTGGTAAGAAAAAAGCCTGATAAATTTCAAAAACTTGCTCCTGCTCAATGATTCCTGAATTAAAACAACCCTCAACATTTAAAGGCTTACGATTTATGCGCCCTTAAGAGACACTGCTGCTACTTACAGTTCTTGTGCATCGGAACCTTCTTCATGGGGAGGGTCCCAAAAATGCAACGCCACTTTCCAAAGCCTGATCTGTTGATCCCAAGATCTCCGACTGTACTTTTTAAATTTATTTGGAGTCCTTGGATGGACCCCTGGAACTCGTAGACACCTTGGAAAAAAACAGTTCAGCTACTTTTAGTACACCACCAACCTTCAACAATTTAGCACTGCAGCAATTTCTGGATAAATTTTCCCAGAGCAAATAAAACAGGCCTTCGTCCTCCAACGAGCTTACGCCACCCTCCTCTCAGATATGCCCTACTGCAGTTTATATTTGTTTCAATATTTACATAGAGTAATAATTTAGTGCAAATTTGACATCAGAGGCATCCAGTTTCTCAGAATATTCTGCCACAGCCTTCAATGTAGCCATTCGCGAGAACAGAAATGAGAAATTATAGTAGCAACTTACTACAAAGTGGGTGAGCCAGAAATCATTTGTGACATTATGGCCAACTTTCCAGGGACAATTTTCTGAGCTCTTATTTTAACCTTTTCCCTTTTGCTCCCCTGCCCCCATCAAAAGCAAGGATGTGTTTCTTTCTTAGAAGTATGATTTATACATCTGATTCATATAAATGCTATAAAAGATTCCGGTGATTTATGAGACTAAAAAAAGGCATAGGTACTTCTTGGAAAGAAAAATTCATTGTCTTTACTTACAAATTAAACGATATTTTGTACTGAAAAGAATCTCCACTCTGTGAGTAGAGAGCTTACCTAGGAACTTCTTGAATATATCTGTCATATGCCAACGTATTCTTCCCATAATTTATTTGTTTTTGTCTCCTCATTAGAACAGCCTCGTCAGTCTCCAGTTCCACAGCTGCTGTAGATTCCTTGGAATCCGAACTGGAAAATATAGTTTTATTTTTCATTTATTCTCGTTTCATGGCTTTGCATTCTCAGACACAAGCCAAGAGATTTGGGGGCCCACCCATGCTTTTAGTCAATGGTGGGATTCAAATTTAATAACCGGTTCTCTGCCCTAATGATTTCTTCCAACAACCAGTTCACCAAACTGCTCAGAAAGTTAACAACCGGTTCTCCCGAAGTGGTGCGAACTGGCTGAATCCCACCACTGCTTTTAGTGCTATTCTGCCCTTAACATGGGAAATATCTCCCCTTTTCTTCATTTCCCTCATATCTTCTCATTCCCACTCACTTTTAACATAGCTGTACTTCAATTATTCATTCTCATCAGCCTCCATTTCACAGATCATCCCTGGTAGATTTGCTATGAGCAATGATTTTTTTTACCTTCCAGTAGAGGTCTTCCTTTCTCTTCCAAATTCATTTATCAGCAGCTTTCTTTTGTATCTGTAAAACATTTGTTTTTTAAATAAAGTTATTTTCAGTGCATGTATTGCTACAGTGCTGTTCTGCTACAGCATTGTTGGTGTTTTATTATTTATTTAATAAATGTAACACTTAACAATATTCTCACATTTGTTAGATGGTAAGACTCTTACCCACATTTTCCTGACCTACTGGATTATCCACAAGAGCTAGCTTTTTTATAGCGCATTCTTCAACTTGTCTTGCAGCATAAAATTGTTTTCTATTTTGAACACAAGTGTCTGCTACATGGAAAAGGGGTAATACCTTCCCTACCTTACTAGATCTCCCTATCTCAAAGAATAAAGATTTTTTTTTGAGAAACTGAATTTAAACAAATTGCAGCTCTGTACCTTGCCATTTCTCTGTTGACATTAGTCCTCATTTCATCTTCTTCAACTGCACTCCCCCAGTCTGAACATCTCGAATGGGGCTTGTGGCCCTCTGGGGTTGTGAAACTGTGAACACCAAGTTGCAGGAAAAACAAAGTAGCATCTTTGTCACAATATTCAAAACACACAACATAGCGTACCCCATCTCAACTGTGTCGCAGGTTAAGCCAAGCCATCCATTACTGAACCCTTCATGTATCATGAAGAGCTTTTGAGTTACTCTGTGCAGAACAGTGCTTATCCTCATTTGTTTGGGATAACACCAGTATGCTACTTAAAAATATTTAGTACAGTGCTAAAATATTACCAGCAACTAAACATTTTACGGCCACCTCTGCCTCAAGTAGAACTTCACTGTGCTTAATCGTGAGGAACTATTTCTGTACACCCACCTCTCTGATCTGCCATCTGCCAGGCTGTACGAATCGTAGTCAATGGTTGGGCCGCTGGGCTCGTGCGTATTCCTGTGCTTCCCATCTGCATCGCGCTTCCTGCCTTGACTCCATGAAGCAGTTGATCTGCCAAGAGACAATGAAAAAGAAGAAACAGTCAAGGAAAAGCAATTACAAAAAATTATAATTTTTTACAATTAGAAGTTTCAGAAGCTGGCCTGGGGATCAGCCAGTTTGAATTGTTCCTAGCTCTTGAATGCAGGTAGTCCTCGGTTTAACGACAAAAATTGAGCCCAGCTGCTAAGTGAGAAAATTGTTCAGTGAGTTTTGCCCCATTTTACAACTTTTCTTGCCACATTTGTTAAGTGAATCCCAGCAGTTGTTACGTGAATCTGGCTTCCCCATTGGTCAGAAGGTTGCAAAAGGGGATCACCTGACCCTGGGGCACTGCAAGTCATAAATATGAATCAGTTGTCAAGACATTAGAATATAGATCACATGACCATGGAGATACTGCAAGGGTCGCAAGTGTGAAAAATGTTCGTAAGTCACTTTTTTCAGATCCGTTCTAACTTTGAACGGTCACTCAATGAAATGTTGCTAAATCGAGGACTGCCTGTACGGCATAAAGGTGGGGGGGGGTGGAAGAGCTCCATCCTGCTACAGCTGCTCCTCGCCTTACAAACCGCCACTGGGGCCGGAATTTCGGTTGCAGAGTGAGACAGTTGGCAAGCAAGTCGTCCTGTGCTCATATCCAATTCTGTCATGGTCGCTAAGCGAATCATGTGATGGTTACGTGAATCCAGCTTTCCCCAATTGACTCTGCTTTGTTTTCAGGGCAGTTGTAACTTCGAAACGGTCACTAAGCGAGCGACTGTAAGCAGAGGACTTCCTTATAATGAGGACTTTGGAGGGGGAAAAAGCAGAAGTGGGAGGGAGGCCGAAAGAGAAACGCATCAGCAACTCCTCCTCTTCCTCCTCCCTTTTACGGAGTCTTACCCTCTTTGTTTTTAGGAACTGCCACCCAGAGCCAGGCTGCTTGAAAGAAAGCCGTTTTCAAAACTTTCCTTCCCAAAGAAAGCAGCTTCTTCCCCCCTCACCATCGGCCCCCATGAGACCCACCTGAGGGGCTCTTTTTTAACCTCACCTGAGGGGTCTCTATTCTATCTGCCTAGGATTATATATATATGTATGTATGTATGTATATATGTGTGTATATGTATATATGTATATATATATATATACACACACACACACATATGCATTATATAACCTCAGAAAATATATTGTATATGCAAAATACGTTATTTAACATGACGCGGGAAAACACCCGAGATTTTAATTTTTGGAATATACACACCCGCAAAAACTTAAGACATATATTGTATAATATATATAGCTGGACAATAGCCTGAATTAAATCCAGATAAAAGCTGTATGTATGTATGTATGTATAACCTATTTGTATACACCATTTTTACCTGGATTTAAATCAGGCGGTTGTCCAGCTTTTGGCATCCAAGACCCCCAACAACAACCACCCTGTGAGGAAGGGGCGACCTTTCCCCCCCACATCACCCAGAGGACCGAGGTGCGTGAGGGGGGGGGTTTCAACACGGGGCTCCCCTCAGGCCATCCCCGCCAAAGCCGGGCTGATCTGAGAGGCGCCTTATTTGGGTCACAAGGAAGCGAGAGAGAGGGCGAGGATGAGAGGAAAGGCCTCCGGGGCTCCGCGGACGAACGGAGGCCGATCAGAGCCTCTCCGAGGCAGCCACAGGCCGTCGACGGCCCTCCCGGCCTTTACCTGCTACGAGTCCGGCCGGCCAAGGGGCTCCGCTGGCGAAACGACATGACGAGGGCTAGGCGTTTCCGACGATCCTCACCCGAAGCCGCCAAACTCGCAACTGAGGCGCGTCAGGTAGCGCCGCGCGCGCCAACCCGAGCGGCCGCTACCACCTCGAAAATGGGAGGGGGGAATCCTAGAGGGGAGGCTTTTCTCCCCCACTTTCACAGCTCTGGGACGGATTATCCAGCCGCCTTCCGTGGATGAAATTTTCTCCGCTTCCGAGCTCTTACCCTGAGGTACAAAAGGCCTCGGGGCGGCTTTTATCCTCCTCTCTTCAGAGCCGGGCTTCCCCCCCCCTATTAGCGGCGTGGCGATGGTTTGCTCCGGCGCGCGGAGCTCCGCCCCCTCTTCCTCCCGCCCCCCTTTTGCCTTTTTGAGCGAACGGCGCTTTGGCGGGAAAAGTTTGCAAGCCCGGACGGGCCTCTCTGCAGCCCCCCCCGAGGTTGCACGCTTTTCTTTGCGGCTTTGCGGGATGCTTTCCTCGGCTGAAGCTGCTTCCCGACGAGGGATCCATTGCTCCTTCCATATTGAGCAATTTTGCCAATTTATTTTGGTTTCCTAAAAGCATTTGGGGAGGGAATATTGCTGCACGCTTTGGAATTCGGCCACCTTACTAATATTTGGTGCTTGCAAGAAAACAGGGCTGTCTTAAAGGCGGGCAGAATAATTGCATGCTGGACCCCGAAAGGGTGGTCGCGTGCCAAGATGCTGCAGAGAGGATACTGCTGCAGCATAGATAAGAACAAGCTCCTTGGTAATGGATAATATTAATAATAAGACCCCCGAAAATAAGACCCTGTCTTATATTTTTTTGAACCCCGAAATAAGCGCTTGGCCTTATTTTCGGGGAGGTCTTATTATTTTGGGGTGCATGGAGGAACCCAAAGGAAATGGCGGGGACCGGCTGATCATGAGTTTAAATATTTTCAGGAGGGGCTTATTTTAGTGCATGCGCTCAGAAGCCCGATTGGGCTTATTATCAGGGGAGGTCTTATTTTAGGGGAAACGGGTAGTGTTTAAAAAACAGCATTGGCAGGAATTCTGAAAGTCATTCTGATTTTTAAAATGGTCTTGTTTTATTGGATCAGTGCGTCCCGTTTTTAGTTAGGAACCGAAATCTGGCATATATACTGTATTGTGTAAAGTCACCCTCTGGTCTTGTATAGAGGTTCCCAGATGCCTGGCCAAAATAAGAGCTGTTTGCTTGCATGTGATTTAAAAGTTGTGTCTTTCTCCTACACTGCAGGACATTCCCCAAAATTACAGGCTGAGATCGTCCCAAAGGTGTTTTTTTTCAAAAGGCAACTGGACTTTCTTGTTCTTGAAGATATTTTGCTTCTGTAGAAAGTCAGCACCCACCCACCCTCCTAGAGAATGAAATATTTTGGGGAGTATTAAAAAGGCAGGATAGAATGTTTTCCCTAAAGGAGAAATGGGGGGGAAATCCTAAGGGAGGCGGAAGCCAGCCCCAGTCTCCCTGACCCAAGCAGAAACTGAAGAGGCCAGCTTTTAGAAATGCAGATTTGGTAATCCGGTCAGAAAGACTGGGTCAGACAGAGACTCCAGATAAGTAACACAATTAGGCAAGTGAAAGGAATTGTCAGACAGAGCAATCAACCCATGGAACAGAAGTTGCCTTTGGAAGTTGTGGGAGCTTCATCACTGGAGGCTTTCAAGAGACTTGACTGCCATCTGTCAGAAATGGTGTAAGGTCTCCTGCTTGGGCAGGGGGTTGGACTAGATGACCTCCAGTGTCCCTTTTAACTCTGTTAATCTGTATCTATCTAGCTCAGACAAACACCTAGGATTTGCATTTCCCCTTCTGCCTACAGAGCCAACAGCCATTAGAATATTAAAGGCCATGTTCTTGCACAGAACAGGAATCTCTAAATACAAAACCATTTTGTCAGCTGTCCCAGAACTGCACTCTGTGTGTGTTTTGGTTCTGCCAATCAATAAATGGACATTTCTTTCTTAAGCAGCCTCCATTTTTTCCCCAGCTTTGGAACTGGATCTGGACTTTTCTTCCAACACTTCTCGTCAAGGAAAAAACAAAAGTCCTATTGCTTTTTGAAAAAGCACCTTTGGGACAACCAGGGTCTGGATGACTGAGAATCTTCATAAAGATACAGGCTGAGATTCATCTATTACCCTAGTATAAACCCCATACAATATGATAAAGTACTATCAGATACTATTTTATTATGTCTAACTATCACTAACACAATCATTAGTGTTACCAATACAAAATATTTGTAGCTAAGGGTTGAAATGAGGGCTCCTTGGTGCTGAATTTGCTTGTTTTCTTGCAGACATTTTATTACCCAACTAGGTAACATCATCAGTGTTAGTAAGGAGTGGGCTGTTCTCAGTTTATATTGTGGTGTCTTGCCTGTTGGTGGAGGCAGCTTTAGAGATTCCTTGGTTGGGCTGTTTACTGATGGTTCTTTGCCAGTTTTTTGATTGGGGTATTGCTTACTTGATTGTCTACAGAGAATCTCCGTCATCCAGGTCATGGTTGTCTTGTCCCAAAGGAGCTTTTTCAAGAGGCAACTGGACTTTCTGGTTTTTCTTTGAAGACATTTCACTCTTGGATGAGAAGGGGAACCGTCTTCAAAGAAAAACCAGAAAGTCCAGTTGCCTCTTGAAAAAGCTCCTTTGGGACATGCTTACTTGATTGTTGGTCTGACGTTGACCTTGGAGTTAATCTATGCATATTACTGGTGGAGAGGTGCTGGAATCTTTTTCTCTTTTGGGCTGGTTGAATGTCTCTTTTGCATAGCCTACAGAGATTGTTGATGTCTCTGTGTCTATTGATGGGTGATTTGTCAGGGTGCCAATCAGGCTTCTAGAAAATCCCTGGCATTTCTGGATTTGGCCTGGTGTAGGATGGTCACATTTTCCCAATTGAAACTAGGGTTAAATCTGTCTATATCTTGTGAAATTAAAGAATTTTTGTCATGCCTTCTGACTGTCAGCTCTGGTTCCCTTCTGGTACCAAAGCAACAACCCAACCTCCCACAAGAGAAGCTGTGTAAAGACTTTATTTAGACGAGCCCAAACACATTGTAGGAACCCAGAACAGCAGAAAAAGGAAATGGAGCATCTATACCACACATTCCAACAAAATGGATACCCACGCAACTGTCAAAAAGTCCCTGGAACCAAATGACCCAGCAACCCCAGAAGAAAAAAACAGAAGTCATCTACAACACACAATGTAAGGACTGCAACAACCTCTCTGTAGGGCAAACAGGCAGAAGTCTGGCCGAAGGCATCCACGAGCACCAACTGGCAGTCGAAAAGGCATGACGAAAATCCTTTCATTTCACAACATAGAGACAGATTGAATCCTAGTTTCAATTGGGGAAAATGTGACACAATCCTAGACCAGGCCAAGTCCCAAAATGCCAGAGATTTTCTAGAAGCCGGGCAGGCACCCTAAAAAATCAGCCATCAATAGACACAGAGATATTAATAGCCATCAAGAGACTATGCAAAAGAGACAATCAACCAGCCCAAAAGAGAACAAAAAGGACTCCAGCCCCTCTCCACCAGTCAATCAAGAGCAAGAGCCTTGATAGTACAGTGGTTTAGTGCACCCTGTTATTAACACAGCTGCCTGCAATTTCTGCTGGTTCGAATCTCTCCAAGGCTCAAGGTTGACTCAGCCTTCCATCCTTTCTAAGGTAGGTGAAATGAGGACCCAGTTTGTGGGGGCAATAAGCTGACTTTGTATAAAATATACAAAAGTATGGAGGCTATTGCTTAACGCATTGTAAGCCGCCCTGAGTCTCCAGAGAAGGGCGGCATATAAATCAAATTAAAACAAAAAAAATCAGCACCCAGATCAGCATAGATGAACTCCAAGACCAACAATCAAGTAAGCAACACCCCAATCAAGAAACTGCCAAAGAACCATCAGTAAACAGTCCAACCAAGGAATCTCTAAGAGCACCCCTCACCCACCCAGACCAGCAAGACACCAGAATGTAAACTGACAGCAAACAGCATAATGTTAATGTTTTGATGTTTGATTTTGTAATGATAATGTTACCTAGTTTGGGTAATGAAAGTTTGCAAGAAAACAGGGACACTCAGAGAGCACCAAGGACCCCTTCCTCCTCCTCCTCCCGCCCTCCTCTTCTCCCTCCTCCTCCTTCTCCACTCCACAATGCCCACTCCCTTTTAGCACTGATGATGTTACCTAGTTGGGTCATGAAACGTCTGCAAGAAAACAAGCAAGCTCAGGGAGGACCCAGGAGCCCTCAGTATCCTTAGTGTGTTGTTGGGCCATGATGTGACATAAACTACCAGAGGTTATGAACTTCTGTACCTTGAAAGATTTTTTTAAAGTTTTTTATTAGTAGTTCAAAACTAAAAACATTGACATTGAAAGATTATTGATCCCTGAATATCCCCGCCACCATTCCTCCATTTTCAAAATATTTTTTTTTTGTAATTTTTATTTCAATATTTACTTGAAATTGATTGAAGGTTGGAGAGTTTTGCTCCTCAAACTTTTGTTCTAGTTTAAAAAAACGCCCTGGATTAATTAGCCTGTTTACATCCATTTATTTATTCATTTAAATGTTTCCGCCCCCCCTATTCCCCTATCAGATGGGCAGTTTGCGATTTATAAAATAATAAATAAAAACAATAAGTGTTTTAATCTCCGAACTGGGCCACGCGCATGCGTGCAAAACCCACAAAGGATAAACATCAAACCGCTCGCCGCTTCCGGCCTTCCGCGTCCAAGTGCGGGCCACGCCTCCCTGGCAAGCTCCTCCCTCCGGGGGGGAGGGGGTTTCCCGCGGGTATCATTCGGCGCATGCGCGAGCGCGCGGGCGGCTCCGCCCCAGCGCCTCGTGCGTGACGTCAGTCCATTCCAAGCTCTCCATTGGCGGAGAAGAGGCGACGTTCAAATTTGAAACGGGAGCTGGCGTTGAGGGGGGAGGGTCGGGCAGCGGCGCTCGGACGGCGGTGAGGGAGCCCGGCTGACACGCGTCTTGAGCCCGTTCCCACGTTGTTTTCTTCCCCCGCGTCCCCGTCCCCGCCCCCGGTTGAGCGT